TAGCAAGGTCTCCAGGCTGAAGAAGACCCAACCTCGCAGAATTACTCGCGTTGCCGGCCTTAATAACTCCAATATTAAAGACGTACGTTCTTGCGTTGGCGTTTCAGGCGCTAACCGTTGGAATAGTGCCCACTTTTCCATCGTGAAACTATAAGCCGATTCATCTGGGAACTGCGGTCGCCCGGACAACTGCTTTCTCAAATTTGCCCGCGTGGCCAACGAATCATACTTCGCGAGGAATTGCGCTTTAAAGATCTCCCATGGTAATTCCGGTCGTTCAATCCACTTAAACCAACTCAGGGCTTCGCCCTCTAACACGCGCCGCACGACAGACGCAATTTTATTCGTTGGATTTCGGTTTTCGCACAAATGTCTCTCAAGTCGCTGGATGAACACCGCTGGTTGTTCAATATCTTTTCCCGAGAACTCACAATCTAACTCGACGTCGCGAACCGGCGAAATAGTTAATACTTTTAATGCCGCTACCTCTTGAGTTAGGCTCCGCACAGCCTCCACAAGAACCAGACTCGTGTCCATAGTTCTGGTCGTTTCTAGTGTTTCCGTGTTATTTTCTGGGCGCCACTGGGTTTCTACCTCGGGATTACCCAGAACCCTCGCTGGCGTCTCGTCGACCGTATAATCCCACATCGCGTCGTTACTCGCGGTAGACTGTAGCATGCGAGTCGCAGATCGGACGAATCCAGACGCGAAAAACCTGATGCGAAATTATTTTTCAAATGTAGACTAAGTTCACGAATTCTTTAGAAGTTATCCTAAGATAACTGGGGGTGAAGCTATTTACAGCTAGCTTCAAACTTGGATCTAAGATCTCTTTTCAACTCGGTTTAGAGTTGTTCTTTTCCCTTGGAGATTTATGTTTGTTTTCCTCCCAATTTTCTTTTGGCCTTTTTCTTTTTTACTTTACTTTCCCAAAGGAACTTTCTTTTTCCTTTATTCTCTTTTTTCCCCTTTTTCTTATCCAAAGAAAAAACTTATATGTTCCCCTTATTATTACTACCTAGGTCCCAGACCGATAAAACGAATTCTTATCTTTAAGTTCACCAGGAGAACTTAGCCAAAGCCTCTCTGGGGAGCTCTATGCACAACGATGCCCTAAATCGAAGTGAGCTCCCGAGCGCGCGCGCCAATATCCTTGGCAGGAAAAATGACCTCAGATGGAGCGGGGTCGAGCGGGATTATCGCTCTTTACTGGCGGCTGTCCCTGCACAGAAGCGGATAAAGCTTTGCCCTCACCATCTTCGCTTTGCGGGTCACAGCGTCGACGTGCGGCTTCCACGTCAGCGTGCGATCCAGGGTTACCCTAGGTACTTGACGGTGGTCGCCCACTGGATGTCTTCTCCGTTGAACTTCACGTGTCCCTGGGGGCGCGTTCGGTACCTACGAGAAAGCATAATACCTGTGCTTTTCTCCGGATTGATCGCCACCTTCCACCTGTTGCACCAGTCCTCTAGTTGGCTTACAGCTCTTTGGAGGTACCTCTTCGCCATATCGGGGTTCATTGAACGCGCCGTTATGGCGGTGTCATCGGCGTAGAGGCACACGGTAGTGCGCTCTGTCCTGGGCATGTCGGATGTATAGATGTTGAATAGGTGCGGTGATAGCACGGCTCCTTGGGGGACGCCTGCCTCGACGTCTCGATAGGTGGATAGGGCCCCTTCCACCTTCGCACGCAGCTTCCTGCCTCTAAGGAAGGACTCCACCAATTTGACCAGTCCGATAGGGTAGCCAAAGTCGAGCATCTTAGCCAGAAGCCCATCGTGCCAGACCCTGTCGAAGGCCTTGGCGACGTCCAGGAAGACTGCCACGGTGGATTCTCGGTTGTTGAAACCTGCGGACAGATGTTCTACTAACCTGAGAATCTGCTGCTCCGTTGAGTGTCCGCTGCGGTAGGCGAATTGTTCGTCGGGGATGACTCGCAATTCTTCCGAGCTCTCACGCAGTCTGGTCAGGATAATCCTCTCCGCTACCTTGCTCATCATCGGCAGGAGACTGATGGGCCTGTAACTGGCAGCAAAGGTTAGATTCTTACCTGGTTTCGGGAAGAAGATGACGTCGGCTTTCTTCCACCTGGCGCGGAATCTTCGCAGTCTCAGGATGGCGTTGACGTTGTTGAGCAGCGCCATCACTCCCTTGTGGGGGAGCTTTCTGAGTATTCGGTTTCCGATCTGGTCACATCCGGGTGCCTTGCGGGGGTTAAGGCGCCGCAGGATGTCCCTCACCTCCTCGGGTGTCGCCGGCCTAATGTCGTCCCTGTCGAGTTGGCGTCTGTAGCGCCGTACGCGTCGTTCCACCTCGTCGGCATGGTCCTCGTCTTCGTCGTCGAGAAGGTTTTCCCTACACTGTAATTCCAGGCTGTCGGCGATTGCCTCGGCCTTTTCATACCTAGTGTAGGCGATCCCGTTCTCTCCGTGAATCGGAGGCATAGGCTTCCGGGTGATCCTCAGCGCCCGTTGCATCGTCCATAGGCTGCGATCTTCGGGGTTCAGTGACTCCAGATGTCGTTGCCACGAGTCCTGGTAGTGCTCCTCTAGGGCCGCTTTTACACTCCGGTTCAGCTGGTTTAACATCTACTTATCCCGGGGGTGTGCTGTCCTCGTGGCTCTTCTTTTCGCCGCACGTTTTTCTCTTATTAGGTCCTGCAACATAAGAGGTAACTCACCTGCATAGTTCGCTATCCTCCTCTCCGTCGTCTCCCTGGTGCTGGCTTCCAAGGCGGTGTGGATATCCGTCTCAAGGCTCGCGATGGCAGCCTCGAGGTCCGCTGCTTCGCGGACGACCGGAAATGGTGCGCATATTCGTTGCATTTCTGCGCGGAATAGACCCCAGTCGGTCCGCCGCTTGGCAACGGTGTCCTCGCAGCGACGCTCGTCTCCTAAGGTTAGGAGAATGGGGGCATGGCTCGTCGCCCCCTCGTAGTGCGTCGCCAGATCGGCGGCCATCGGTATTGCCCTAAGCAAAGCGATATCCAACACGCCTGGTCTTCCAACTGCACCGTAGTACGTCATCATTCTAGGAAGCAATTCTGAGGGACTGCACACTAGTCGGAGGGTCCATTTACTCCTGTAACAGAGATGGAATTTTACTGAAAAAAGCCGACATGGCGGAGTACATCTCCCGCATCTGTGCCAGCATGCTGGCCACATTTGCAGGTTCCGCACTCCTGTCGGTTTTGGGCCCCCCCTTGTGTGCCGCGGCGGGGGCCTGCTTTGGTCTGGCGGCGTCGGCGAAGCTCTTCGCTGCAGTCACCTTCGGGGGTGTGCGAACTTAGCCTATGTTTTGTCGGCTTGGGGGTCCTCTTTGCGCTGCTGATTTTTGCTGCCTGTCGTCTTCTTAGGGAAGCTAGGGCATCCACGGTAGGATGTTCGCCACCGCAGTTGGCGCACTTTGCCGGAGTCTCGCGCTTCTTAGTGCAGTCTGCCGAGTGGAGCAGGTCCCAAGGAGGTGGAGCAGGTGTTGTTAGGTAGTTTTTGCGATCCCAGCGAAGCATCTTCGACGACTACCAGGCCTAGTCCAGGTCCACTAGGCTTCCACCAGGTCCAATCCAGGTCCACCAGGTCCACTACGTCCACGTTAGGCCTACTCCAGGTCTACTACGTCCACCCTAAGTCCACAAGGCTCCACCAAGCCTCCACCAGGCATACTCCAGGTCCACCAGGTCCGCACCAGGTCCGCTCCAGGTCCTCCAGGATCACACTAGGTCCGATCCAGGTCCACTACGTCTAGTCCAGGTCCATCAGGGTCCACTAGGCCTACACCAGGCATACTCCAGATCCACCAGGTCCGCACCAGGTCCGCTCCAGGTCCTCCAGGCTCATACTAGGTCCAATCCGGGTCCACTACGTCTAGTCCAGGTCCATCAGGGTCCACTAGGCCTACACCAGGCATAGCCCCAGGTCCGCTCCAGGTCCACCAGGTCCACCCTAGGTCTGAAGACCATTTTTGAAAAAACAAAAACAAAAAAAATAAAAATAAATAAATAAAAAAAATAAATCCAACAAATAAAAAATAAAAAATAAACAATAAAAAATAAAAAATAAAAAATAAAAAATAAAAAATAAAAAATAAAATATAAAAAATAAAAAATAAAAAATAAAAAATAAAAAATAAAAATTAAAAAATAAAAAATAAAAAATAAAATAAAATAAAAAAAATAAATCCAACAAAATTAAAAAAATAAATAAATAAAATTTTTTTTAAAACCATCCGACATGGAGCCATCACCGTATCTACCTGGTACCCCACCACAAGTGCCTTTGAGGCCTTCCCTGCTGGACAGCGAGGTGTCCTTCCATAATTACCAGCATCAAGGACCACCGTCCCAACCTGGACCTCCTATACCGCAGACCTCTACGCCAAGCACCGTCGAGCTTCTGCAGGCTTTGAACCTAGCCATCCAAGCTCAACTGAACACCAGTACCCGTCCGGCCCCAAGCCAACCTGTTGCAGCTCCGAGCCAGACCTCAGCCAGGGCTCCAGCCACCGAGGCAGTGAGCCTCCAACATCCAGGTCCGATTGTCGAATCGCCTCTCTCGGCAATCGAACCAAATCCCTTCGACAACATGGATGTTGAAGCCCTTGTCGGCGACCTCAACAACAATACCACTGAGGTCGTCCCAGCCAATGCCGAATTGCCACGTCTGACCGTCTACCTGGAAGGTCAGAGATGCCACCACCGGAAGCCGCAGAAACCGAGGACCAAGGTCTGGATGACCTACACCCCGGCCAGCCAATAGAGCCAGCGGCACCCCAAGTCGGGGCCCAGGTCCAGGACAGTCCACATCTCGACCGGCCAACAGAGCCGCCACGACTACCCCATATCGAGGCCCAAGACCAGGACGGTCTCCACCCCGGCCCGCTAATAAAGCCAATCAGCCAACCAGGACGGCAACCTACGGACCATGGATGGGTCTAACGTCTGGACGACGACCGCCCTCCATGTCCACTGATAGCCTACCCTGAGGCGACACCAGGCCCTAGCCATGCTAGGCCACATGCAGAGACCAAACCCCCGAGCCAGCCACCATCTGCTAATAAAACCAACCAGCCAACCAGGACGGCAACCTACGGACCATGGACGGGTCCAACGTCTGGACGACGACAGCCCTCCATGTCCACTGATAGCCTACCCTGAGGCGACACCAGGCCCTAGCCATGCTAGGCCACATGCAGAGACCAAAACCCCGAGCCAGCCACCACCCGTTAATAAAACCAACCAGCCAACCGAGACGGCAACCTACGGACCACGGACTGGTTTAACGTCTGAAAGACGACCGCCCTCCATGTCCACTGATAGCTTACCCTGAGGCGACACCAGGCCCTAGCCATGCTAGGCCACATGCAGAGACCAAACCACCGAGCCAGTCACCACCCGCTGTAGGCGGTCCAACCAAACGACCGACCCAGTATTTTCCCGGACACCTTGATATAAGGCGCAAGCGACGTCCAGTGAGGATGGTCGCTATTTCTCCGCCGCCCACCAAGAGGACTCAGCAGCCACGTCCCAACAAGAGGCCAGGGACGTCGGCCAACCCCCAGTAGAGCCAACCAGCCGCCAGCCGGACTACCGGAGCAGCCAGCGTTGGACAGCCCCCCCC